AACTATTCAGCAGAAAATCTTTAACATACTGCTTCGCTTTCGATTTTTTAAAGTTGCCCTTTGTGGAGATATCTGCAAGATGTACCGTTGCGTGCGTGTTTCGCATCCGGATGACTTTTTGCAGTGTATCGTTTGGCGAGAGAACCCCACGGATGAGTTGAGTGTTTTTAAATTAAACACGATAACTTATGGAACTAAGCCTGCTGCCTTCTTGGCTATAAGAGCCATGCATCAACTCTCTTACGATGAGGAGGAATCATTTCCTATTGGAGCAAGAATTGTTCGTAGAGATTTCTATGTGGATGACTTAATCTCTGGTGGGGACTCAGTTGAGGAGGTGAGAGAAATTCGTCGTCAGGTGAAGGAACTACTGTCGCGAGGCCACTTTCCAATCCGCAAATGGTTTTCGAATGAGTCAGCAGCCCTGGAAGGAGTGTCTGACTGCGACAAGGAGCAGCTAATCAAATTTCATGATGGATCGGATATCGCCAAGGCATTGGGACTAGTCTGGGATCCATTTTCTGATGAACTCCTATTTAATTTTTCTCAACTGCCAACCAATCAACGACCCACCAAGCGGGTTGCATTGTCAACAATAGCCAAATTCTACGATCCGCTTGGTCTAATAACTCCAATTGTCACAAGGTCCAAAATCTTTCTGCAATCTCTATGGAGTGCGAACGTGGATTGGGATGACGCACTGCCAGAGCCCATTCTTTCGTCATGGGGGAGTTGACCTCACAGTTAGCGGTCGTACAGAACTTAAAATTTCCACGATTTGTACTACAGCCAAGGGCTTCCGTTGAGTTGCATGGATTCTGCGATGCTAGCATATCAGCTTATGGAGCGTGTTTATACTTGCGATCAGAGACCAATGGAGAATTGAAAGTCCATCTGCTCTGTGCCAAGTCGAGAGTAGCTCCATTGAAGGCCTTAACAATTCCAAGTTTAGAGCTTTCTGCAGCGCTTTTATTGGCTGAGCTTGATTGCGCCTTTCATTGTTGGTCGGACTCGTCTATTGTGTTAGCGTGGATTCGGCAACCTCCGAGGGAGTTTAACGTTTTCGTATCGAACAGGATCGCGAAAATTCAGGAGATGACGAAAGAAATGACTTGGCATCACGTTCCTACAGCCTTAAACCCAGCGGACGTCGTATCGCGAGGATGTACCCCGAGAGAATTGTTGGAGCATTCCCTTTGGGCTAATGGGCCTCCATTCCTTCTGCAAAGTTCGTCGAATTGGCCGTCCCTGCTGGATGTAGTAAAGGATCTTCCAGAGCGCCGTTCTGCGACTCTAATTGGGACCGTTTGCATGGATAGTTCTTCAAACTGCAAATACCTGAACTCTTTCGACAAGTTGCAGCGAGTATTTCCATACATTTATCGGTTCATTTCAAATTGCAGAGCCAAATGTGCGCCGTTAAAAGGTCGTCTTTCGGTGGAGGAGATCAACTCTGGAACTATACTTCTTTTTGAGGAGCATCCAACAGGTTAACTTGGCGAAGGAGTATGGATTTCTTAGCCAGGGCAAGTCTTGTCCCCAGAAAAGCAAGCTGATTTCGCTTAGGCCTATAATCGGATCCGACGGGTTACTTCGAGTTGGTGGAAGACTTCAGAACGCAAACTTGGGCTACGATACGATGCATCCGATACTGTTGCCCAAGGATCATCCAGTCACCAAGGCAATCATCGTTTATTTTCATGGAAAATATTTGCATGCAGGATCGCAGGCGTTGCTGGCTGCATTACGGCAAAGGTTCTGGCCGATTGGAGGCCGCAAGTTCGTCGCCAGCGTCATCAACAAATGCGTCCGATGTTTCCGAATGAAGCCTGTGACTTGGGAGCACGTCATGGGTAGCCGGCAAATCGAGTGCAGCCTAATCCAGCCTTTCATACAACAGGTGTGGACTATTGTGGGCCATTCTATCACAAAGCAGAGACCAGAAATAAGGCACCCCACAAGTGCTACATCGCTGTTTTTGTCTGCTTTTCCACGAAGGCCGCTCATTTGGAAGTGGTTCAGGATCTCACGACGGATTCTTTCATCGCAGCGCTGAGGAGATTCATCAGCCTTCGAGGCAGTCCGCGTACCATTTGGAGTGACAATGCTACGAACTCTGTCGGTGCAAAGAGCGAGCTTGCCGAGCTGAAGGAGCTTTTTTTGAGCGAGCAACACACGGCATCGATATCTTCGGCCTGTTTAGCTGATGGGATCGATTGGAAGTTCATCCCTCCGCGTGCCCCGCACTTCGGTGGTTTATGGGAGGCCGCTGTGAAGTCGGCCAAATATCACTTCTACCGAGTCGTCGGTGCATCCGTCTTAGCCATCGATGAACTAAGAACTCTTGCCTATGAGATTTCTGCCATCCTTAACTCCCGTCCACTCTGTCCAATTTCAGAAAATGCTGAGAGCACCTCAAGCTAACGCCTGCGCATTTCCTGAAGGGTTCCAGCTTCACAAAATTTCCTGAGCCTGACATCACTCATCTTCGCGAAGGCCGCCTCAGCAGATGGCAACGGGTGACCCAGATGCAACAACACTTCTGGAAAAAATGGAGCAGCGAATATTTGTCCCTTCTTCAAGAAAGGAGCAAGTGGCGCGTCGAAACGTTCAACATCAAGGTTGGAAGCATAGTGGTGCTGAAGGATGACAGCATTCCCCCATTGAAATGGCAGCTTGGGTGCATCGAGGAAGTTATACCCGGCGGGGACGGCGTCATCAGAGTAGCTATGGTCCGTACCGCTACGGGTCTTATCAAGAGAGCCGTCGCCAAACTAGCCGCTCTGCTCATCGACTCCGAAATGGTTGGAACCGTACCTCTTCCAACGGGGGGAGTATGTTCGGAGCAGACCGCCGGCACCTAGTCACGCGCGCACAGGCGTACCGCTGCACCTGCAGCGCTCTTATGGTTTCTCTTTGCTACTCTTTTCTTATCTCGCTAAAGCTGTCGCGTTATCTATCAGCAAAACTACATTTGTTATCCCATAAACATGTATATATATTGAAGCCAAACTTTTTACATACTCAGTCTGCAGCTCCGATGAAACAAACACATTAAACACGGCTTATATTAAAATACCTATCGTGCGTTTTTTATTATGAACTAAAGGGTGGCAAATTCGTTGTCTTCCCCACAAACATAACTAATTTACTTAATTTTTTAGTCAAAAATCGGGGTTTCCAATTTTTATAAAAAATCGGGAAAAAATTTTAAAAATAAAAACGCTTCGTGAATACCTCGGGACACTTATCCTTTACCGAATGAGGATGATTCTGTGGACAGTTAGGATGTACATCGCAAACCAACTTTTTTTGGAGGCGACCCAGGAGATTTCCTATAACTCCTATACCTCTAAATATTTCTCAATTCAAAATTGATCAAAAATTGTTCAAATGTTGTGCTATTAAATGGTATTTATTTCATTAAGCTAACTTTCGTCCTTTCGCCACAACATTTTTTTGAAAAGTGGGCATTTTTGCACCGAATTAACCTGAAATACCTAATACAATAAACATTATTAATAGGTTTCCATTTTTCTGTATGACATATTCGCCCGATTTTCATAAAATTAAAACCGAAATTCTGAAAGAAAAAAGCTCATATCTCCGAGTAGATGAAAAAAAGGTTATAATTTAGTTTCCCGATCGCTTCTATGATAGCTTAAGATATAGTAGTCCGATTTTCATAAAATAAAACGAGAATTCTCAAATAATATATAATGACCATGTCTCAAACAAGATGAAAATATGTTGAAAAGCAGCCAAGTTAGACATTTTTTAAATTGTTGATCATTTGTATGCCAGCTATATGATATAGTCGTCCGATCCGGCCCGATCCGACATATGTATATAGCAGTGAGAGTATTCAGAAGATTATATGCTAAGTTTCATTCACATAGCTTTAAAACTAAGGGACAAGTTTGCGTAGAAACGGACAGAAGGACATGGCTAGCCATGTCGACTCGGCTTTTAATGTTGATGGAAAATGTATCCTTCAATGCGTTGCAAACTTCTGACTGAAATTATAATACCCTGCAAGGCTATAAAAACATAAAACGTATTGAAGTTACAGCACTTCAAAAGTACCTAAGAACCGTATTTTGTGCCCTTTTAAGTTGAATTATTTTGGTTTAAGTTCAGCGTATAATAAAATATAGGAAAAGTATATTAAGGTTCTTGGTTCAAAAAAACTATCCGCCTGTTTAAGGGGGTTTCCTGAATTAGGAGGCAAAAAAAAATCGATTTTTTTTTTTATTGCTTAAATCGATAGATAAACTATCTAAGAATATACCACAAAAATTTCAGAAGCCAATTCGAAGTATTTTCGAAGATACAGAGATGAAAGCAAAGGAGCGCCGGGTAGGTTTGCAGGCGCTTGGCGAACTTTGAGGCCCGTTTTCTGACTTTTCATTTTTACGATTCTTTCGAATTGGCGGGAAAGATAACAAAAAAACTTATTGACCGATTGAAACGAATAAAGGCTTATTCTCTTTAGAATTAGTTGAACTAAAACGGTTGTTGAAAACCGCTTTTTATATTTTTTACAGCATGTTAAAGTCAATATTGCATTTTTCGGGATAAAATATTGACTTTAACATGCTGTAAAAAATATAAAAAACGCGGTTTTCAACAACCGTTTTAGTTCATTTAGAAGAAAATTTAATTCTATCTATCCTAATTCAGGAAACCCCCCTGAATAAAGGCCGAGCACGCAAAAGCCAGTTTACCATTTATTGCTCTTACAAATACCTCAAAAAATCCTTATTTGCATGTACTTTCTCAGGTTTCCTTGTGATTGTAATTTAAGCGGTTGTTTTGCCACAATATATGAGTCGGAATTAAAATTGTACGTATTGTATGTGTGCAATGGTTTTTATTTTCGTAGATAAATTGCCCAGGAAATCTACTCACTGGTATCTCCGAACTTTTTAAAGTCTTAAAGAAAGTTTGCTTATGAATATATATACACGTGTCTAACAAATATACATGATTGTACTCACTCAGTTAAATGACAAATAACTATGTCCAGCATTTCGAAATTGGGTTTTGGCAATTTGTAGACTAACTTATGTACTTCATTTACGCGTTGATTCAGGGTTTCCAGTTCTACAAATTTATGTTAAATATCCATTAGCATGTAAACAATTTTATTAAGTATTTAATGCTTACTAGCTGATTCGATGAAATCACCATGGTAATGATACGTCATTAATGGTTCGTTTAAATTCCGCAGATACATTTTGAGGGCGCTGGCAATAGTGTTACTTTCCATTAAATCGCGGTACTTATCGTCAGTGAAAACATCTTCGGTTTCTTTTCGATTTATACCTAAAGTTAATAACTTGCTAATTTTTGTTCCAACACCACTTTTTCGATAAATTCCTTCATCTTCCAGTCCACGGCTTTCTAATACTTGTATACAGCGCCGAACAAATATAAATCCAGGCTCGTCTAATTGATATGCTTCGGTGACTTTAATTTTTCCTGGAGCTAGATATGTCTATGAAAAGAAAATAAGTTATGTTAAATAAGTTACATTTGCAGAGCGTGTTATAATATTAGCTAAAGCTACACGACGCAGCGGAAGAGATATTTCCGTCCACGACCAGTTGAGTCATTCGAAATACTTAACTACTTGCTTATATTATTTAGCTTACAGAAATCACTTAAATCGGTACAGAAATGAGTCTAACCCCAAGCAAATTTACGCGTTCGTCAATTTAAGACGAAAATTTAAACAATTTCTTTCTCAACACGGTGTCCGCTTCTATCGAGCCTCATATGGTGAATTTATTCCCAAAATTTGTCTCATCAATTAGTCATCGTATCCATACTCAGTTCAAACCCAAATTGCGGTAGATCTTGTAGATATGTTTTGAGAAATTGTACGAGTGTGTTATCTATACCACTGTCACCTCTTTTTTGTTAGATATCCCTTAAAAATTCATTTTTTTCCGAAGCTTGAAATTCTTTATCATTTTTCTTTATAGGGGTAAGCAAAATGTAGTGTGATTCCCAAAGTTATTTTAACTTTTAATTACTGCTTAGCTTTAGCAATAATGTAGCTCAATAGCTCACTCCCACTCCCGCTCAAGGACCCACCTCCTTGCAGTATGGCTTTATCTAAGGCAAATCAACGTCTACAAACCTTTCCTTCCTTTTGTGCATTTTCTAGAAACGCGTTCAAAAATAACACGTAGACTGACGTTGCTTCACAGATATCAGCAAAGGCCGTTGATTAGGTGAACCATCAGTAACTAATTAATAAACCTATACAGTTGGGTTTCCCGTCACGTCGACTATTAAACTGAACTCAAAAGTTGCATTCACGGTTTTGCTCTCGAACCTTGTTTCGGTGACTTCTGTTTATTTTGTTTATTTTGCATTAAAAACCACCGGGGTCCAACTTTAATTGTTAAAATACAATTCTTTAACTTTGCCGTTTAGCTACGAGAGTGCATGTGCATGTATCTTTCAGTGTTTAATTAAGGGGGTCTTCTCATTGGGCAACTTTTTTTTTCGATTTTTTTTTTTGCATTTATTTATAGCTTGGGATGTTGTGTATATGTCCCCAAAAGGATTTTTAGAAATTCGAAATACTTCAGAAAATACAGCCTTTTTTGTGAAGCAAGGTCTTCGCAAAATGAGCTTTTTCAAACTTCAAACGCGTTTATCTCGAAACCAGGTTTTTCGAACTGGATGCCATGATATCTCCAGTTCAACTGAACCGATTTTCATGAAACAAAGTGGAATCGACGCAGAATTGTCACCATTCTCGGGTGACGGAACAGATTTAAAAAAAATGTTTTTTCATATTTTTTTTACACTAAACTACAACAAAAAAGCACGAAATCGAAATTTTTTTTGAATGGCCGCCATTTTGTTTGAAAAAATTAAAAAAAAAACTGTTCCGTCACCCGATAATTACATCTATTCTGATTATAACCCCGTTTTTTTTATTTCGGACGCTCTGGAGACCCTGAATCGTGGCCGCCAGGACGACACCTTTTTTTTTCCACCACCAAGTCTCATTACTCTTTGAATAACCCTCGTATCGAGGCAAAAATAATTTTTTTTTACTTTGAAAATTTTTTAATACAATAAATAAAAAAAGTTTTCAATTATTCTTTGCGTTTTCAAATAAAAATTTTTTTTAAAAGGGTCAAAAAAACGATTTTTGAATGAGAAGACCCCCTTAATATATATTTTAAAAACACTTTTAGTTTTTGCGTTTTCTTGTCCCCCTTTTATGCTGTCCCATTTAGTTTTCAACATTGCGTATAAGCGGTTCTAAGCACTTAAGCGGTTCTAAGCTCTTGTTTTTTCTGCTCTCCCACGCCTACTCTCCCGCTCTCTCAGGTCCGAGAACGCGGTGCCGATGTTGCCGCTATTAGAGAGCCGTACAGGGTAGGCCCTGGCCCATACTGTGCGGTGGACAGCTCTGGCAAAGCTGCCCTGTGGTTATGCGGTAACGCACCTAAGCGAATGGCTGACGTTTGCTCAGAAAGAGTCTTTGTGCGTGCCAAGATGGCAGGCTGGTGGATTTATAGTATCTACCTGTCACCGAGCATGTCACTCGCGGAATTTGGGGACGCCGTGGATCGGCTCGCCACAGACGCGACGGGCCACATTCCGTCACTTATAGCCGGCGACTTTAACGCTTGGGCGGTGGACTGGGGCAGCTCCCTCACCAATGCCAGAGGTAGGACCCTCCTCGAGGCCTGGGGTGCAGCCCACCTTCAGCAGAGCCGGGGCGAAAAGTTACGGAAAGTGCGTTAGAGAAGGAACATTTCCTAGGAGATGGAAGGTTTAGAGGCTGGTCCTGCTTCCGAAACCAGAAAAGTCGCCAGAAGACCCATCCGCCTACAGACCAATCTGCCTGATTGATGGGGCTGGCAAGGTGTTGGAGCAACTGATGCGGACGAGGCTTGAGAAGGCCATTGCCATTGCAGTTTGGGGGCATGCACTAGCGACCTCGGCTTATAGTCACGGACTGTGCTCGGCCCATCGCCCCGCGGCACTACGTATCTGCAGCGCCTTTAGGACGGTGTCCGATCAGGCCGCGTTTGTCCTAGCCGGGACTTCGCCGCTGGACCTGCTAGCAACATAGAGTGCCAGTATCCACGGCCAGACCAATGGTAGAACGCTGACACCTTGTGACAAACAGGTGTTACGCTTCGCCACGAAAGACGAAACTTCGGCAGCGGAGCAAACGCGGTGGGAGTCAGCGTCCAAGGGAAGATGGATATCGTCTGATTTTCCAGTTGGATTGCTGGCTAAAGCGGAAGCACGGTTAACTTCCACCTGACCCAGATTCTCAGCGGTCACGGCTGTTTTCGGAGCTATTTGCGGAGATTCGGCCACGAGGAGTATGACACCCGCACGTACTGTCAAGGACATTTGGAGAAGACGGCAGAACACACTGTCTTTAATTGTGTGAGATTTGCCGGTGAGCGAGAAACACTGGGGGCCAGGCTGAGCAACACCATCTCAGTGGAAAACTAGGTTCCGCTGATGTTGATGTCCGAAACGAACTGCCAGGCCGTGTCGGACTTCGCAGAGAAAACAATGACGAAGCTTCGAGCAGAGGAGCGACGCAGGTACCTTGAGGCATCATAGGTCGGGATCAGCGTCCGCGCGAAGCATTGCGCTTACACACCGTTTGTGTCTGTGTGACCCAACCCTTCTATCCCCCCCTTTTTTGTACTTATTCTTCAAAAAACGAATTTTAAAAAACAAATAAAATTAAAAAACCGGTGTCACGGCAGTGCCAAAAAACTAAATACCTCCCTCCTACCTACTTTCCTATCAGAATACTAGAGCCTTACGCAGCAAGCTCTCGAAGTTGTATTCCGATAGTTTTTTATTTGCATCCCAGGAGATTGCGACGTGCCGTTGACTCCAGCCTTATATCCTGGTTCAAATTTACGATCTCACAGGTATTGAATTTATCTGCGTAAAACTATAATTTCCATGTAGTTTTATCTGTATAACCTGTTCTTACGTTCCTCCATCTGCTGAAGAGCCTATTTATTGGAAACACCTTTCGGCAATTCAGGCCGTTTCCAACATGCTTTCAGATAGAGACCAACTAGTAACTCTAGGAGACTTCAATGTACCTTGATCTCATTGGTCATCAGATGGTACGTCTAATGTCCTCCAAACTGCGGCACGGCATGACCTCATAGATGGCTTGACATTTCTTTCTCTTAAGTTAACCATGTCTTAAATTTTTTAAATCGCTTAATAGATCTAACGAATCGTCTCCGATCCTGTAGGTGTAAACTTAACAAGAGTTAAACCATTGACGCTTCCTAAAGACCCCTACCATCCTACTTTCGAAGTGACCATCGATTTGGGGACTAACATAACGTAACGTAACGAACAAATCTGATCGCTTAGCCAATAAAGTTTGCTGCTTTCGTATAGAAAACTTTCAAAGGCTAGATATCTTAATTTCCGAATTTATTTGGTCTGATCTTTACATCGACGCATTTTCGCGAAAGTATCGTATGTCGCTTTTTTTCGAAATTGAGATTTTAATGCAAAATTGTTAGGCACCTAATGTCTCACTACCCTGTGAAATATTATAACTGAAACCCCTATAGTTCCGATAAAAATTAAGTTTCAATTTTGTCTTTTCTATAGTGCTTCCTAAGAGATTAAAGCACAAAAAAGCTTCTCCTGTAAAATTGGATTTATCGACATACGATACTTTCGCGAAAATGCGTCGACATGTGTACATGATACATGTTTACATGTGTCCGCCGTGGATATTTTTTGCAGTGCTATGAATTCGTTCATTTTGTCGTGTGTTCCATTAACATATTTGTCGGCTGACACGCCTAAAAAATATTAAGTCTAGGCTTTATATTAAGTATAAATGTACTGGTTCTAGTACTGCTCTTTCTAGTTATGTTAGCGCTCGGTAGAACTTTAACGAGCTCAAGGCGCAGTGTTACAAACATTATTTAACTGGCTGTAGGGTTCAGGGTTCAGATCACGCAGGGCCGGAAACTGTTTTATAACTTTGTTAACACTTAACGTAAACCAAATTAATATCCTTCATCGTTTTCATTTAACAACACTACAGCAAACTCTGATCAGGCCATCATCGATCTCTTTGCTGTGTATTTTAAAACTAACTTAAATCAGACTTACTCTTTTGATATGCTCAAGTCGAACCTAATCTTCAGTCCAATTTTAAACAAAAGCTTTCTTAGTTTGGATCTTCATTGTGTAAAACCAGTTTATTCACCGGGTCCCGATGGAATACCAGCCTGCGTGCTCAGGTATTGTGCAAGGGCTCTGTGCAACCTCCTTCTTAAATTGTTTACCTTATCTTTAGAAACCTCAGAGTTCCCCCCTATTTGGAAGGAATCATTTATTGGATATAACATCTAATTCACCATCTCTTATATGTTATGTTAACCATAAGAGTCAGTGAGGTGACCAAACGACACTTGATCGTGACCCTCATTGACATAAGCGATGAAGCCG